TGAAATGAATGATGACTCTTGAACATCCTGAATGACTCCACTGAACTCTGGGTCCAGCGGCCGAGCATTTACTCCGCTGTTTTACAGTTTATGAACTAATATAGATTCATATATTTTATTTATTTATTTATATTTATATTTATATAAAGGATTTACACAATTCCCAAATACTTTTTAAAATATATAAAAAATTTAATAAATAACCCTGACCAGTCTAAAAGCACCATTCAAGGGTAGAATCCCCTTAGAAAATAGATTAGGTGTTGCATATTTTTCAGTCCCTTTGCAGTGGCTTCAGTGTGAACCCCCCCCCTTTTTCCGATAACGACGACAAAAGAAGTCACAGTAAACTTAACGCCTATTTCAAACAAGAGAAATCTGTCTAAAGATAAAGCTCAAAACACGCCACCTTTTTTTTTCCCCCAGCCCTTGTTCTAAAAAATGTTCCTGCGGTCTTCCTACTTGGTAGCTCAGAACAAACTGCTTCGGAGAACGTAATTCTGCCTAAGGATGAAGGGAAAGTCTTCTTAACGCGTTCCATATAGCCTGGAAATTTGTAAGAGACTTGGGGAAAAAAATAATAATAATTCAAACCAAGAGAAGGCTGACATAAAATCTTCACCTCTGCCCTTGGTGACTCTCAGCCTTCCCCAACCTTATGTCGGACTTCAATTTCCTTGCTTCCTAGGCAATCAAGTACAAGCTTGCTGGGGATGATGGGAATTTTACCCCCAACAAATTTTACCTGGTATGACTTGTTGGCTCCTTCGCTGTCCCACTTCAGAATGGAGCAGAGAAGAGGTCCAGGATGAACCATGGTTTAAGAAATTAGGTGCGGCCAACTTGATCTCCCTGGACTTCTAAGTTAATGTGTACTGTGAAACATGCCTATGATAGATATGAACGGTTGAAGACTATTACAATTCCCCAAGTCTCCTTTTTCTTAGGACAAATTTCTAAATTCCTGTCACTAAAAAGCATTCATTCTTGAATACAGAACCAATTGTGAGGTGCTCTGTTGCTTTAAAAAAAAAACACCCACTTATTTACAAAGCTTCCCCCACCCTTCATCCCTTAGTTTATTTACAAGCTCAATAGAAATTATATGGAAGAGTTTAACTGATTAGGAAAAAAAAATTCAGTTGCTATTTAAAACCACGTTAGCAAAAGTATAAAAATTTGTTTTCACAGTATGTAAATAGGTTAAAACATATAAACAAAGGACATTGTCACTGTTTTTTTTTCTCTTCACATTGTCTATGTAGCTAAAAAGGTAGATTAAGAGACTCAAATCGTGAACCCATTTGCATGATTTCACACAGGTAACCCAATGTTTCATACAGCTGTCTCGCGGACTTCCTTAATTTCTGCGTTATTATAAGTGAAATGAATTTGCAGTTCTGGATTGTACGGTCAGCAGCACGAGAGGCTGTCGGAATTCAGGCGAAATAACGGACCGCATGCTTAGAACCTAGGTGAGGATAAGGTCTGAACTTCAAAAGAGCAAGGAGGCGTGCCCCCACTATAATGAAAACACGGTGCAAAAAGGCACAATTTAGGGGCTGCTGCTAGATTTGACGCCTGTCATTCGAGCACAGTTGCAGAATTCCAACGGAAACAGGTAGAGCAAAATCTGAGGAAGACGCATAAGGGCTGCTTCACACAATAGGCTTGACCTTTTATGCAAAGGCAAAATCACAGGTGTCTGGAAAGCTCAACGCTCTGACTACTTTGCTGCTGGGGCTTCGCGCAGAACGGTTCATCCCTACTTGCACTGATGGGGTTGCCTAGTTGGGTGGTGAAACATCTGCAAGGAAGCAACTAAACTGGGAGAGCACCAAAGACCCCACAGTTCAACTCTGAGCTACAAAAATTCCCTTCTGTCAGTAGAATCATTCGTCTAACTTTTCAGCAGCTGGAAATTCTTGAAATCCTTCACAAGGGTAGAGTGGCCGGTTGTAATGGCAGCCACCAGAGTCAGCAACAAGGCTGGTACAGTTTCTGAAGCATTTCTAAGGCCGTGTTTCTCAACCTTGACCATTTTAAAGTGTCTGGACTTCAACTCCCAGAATTCAGGCCGACTGGGGGATTCTGGGAGTTGAAGTCCAGCCATCGGAAAACAGCCACGGTTGAGAAGGGGTTATGGATGACGTTATGACAGAGGTGAGAAGATAGTTGCTCAATATTAGCAAACTTCTAGATATTTTTTTTCTCTGTGGTCAGCTGGTCTTTGCAAGATGTTTGCCTCCCATCCATAAGACGCAGAAGTTAGCACAATAGTTCATTTTATAAATGTGTACCCTCCCCTGCCAACACAATCCAAGACAGCTAATGTCTTGGGCGAAGCAGCCTTTAGGCATCCTTTTAAACCTGACTGAAACTTTTGGAAAATAAGTTGGTTAACTTTATACATGTTCGCTTCCTACAGCTGCCCGTGTCCCGTGAAGCTCTGTGACTTATACAGTACTATATTATGGCTTGATCATTTTGAACCAGCTGAGAGAGGAAAACAAGCTATCAACACAAGCAAACATACCAAGAACTTAAAAAAAACCTCTTGAAGGAAGGGTGTCATCAGATCAACTAACGCTTAGGCAGTTAACAGTCCCCACTAGCTATGCTCCGATTACGAAATCTGCATAATTAAAAAGAAAGGTAGCATTTTGGATACATCACTCTTTGGTAAACTCAAACCAGCTCACGTTTACAGCTTAAAAACAAACAAACAAACAAACAAACAGTATTTTATGCCTTGGAAAGATTGAGAAGAGAGCTACGTGCAGAACAGAAAGCTAATTGTCCTTCTCTTTTTTTCTCCTTCATCCTAACTACTAGGGAGTAAAGCCAACCGGTTTAAAAGGCACCACAGCTGAGGTTTGTCCCAAAGGATCAGGAGTAACTTGCCCAACTGGACTCTTGTTGAGGAAACCTTGGCAAAGAGATCAAAACGGTGTCGTTCCTTGGGCTGAAAAGTTGGCTTAAGTCTTAAACAAGCATCAAGAGGATATGTGAATGGTCACATTTGCCCACATTTGTCCTAGTTTAACATATATATATATGTCCTAGTTTAACTCCACTCACGGAGTAGACATGATATACTGCAGATTTTTCGTTACACGGCTGTAATGAAACATTTGCCTCAAACTCTGCCAAGATCTCTTCTCCGCTTTCCTTAAAGTCTAAAAAAAACCTTCTATTTTTCACAACCGCTGCGAAACCAGCAGTTTTTTTTAAAAAAACCTGCACGATTGCCTACACTGAAAGATAATTTCTGAGGCCTCCTGTCATGCTATCTGAGCTTTCCTCGGCATCACCACAGCTGTGCTGCTTTCAGTGTTTTACAACCTTCGGAATCCACCCGACATTCACATCGCTCCTTAGGCCAGGACGAGGGCGGATTACGAACCCCCACCAAGAAAAGCCACCCCTTGGGGAAAAAAAAAATTCACAGTAGAGAGAAGCTTTAAGGAATCAGACTGGAATTAAAAGCCGAGGCTCGGACTGAAATGTCAGTATGCACTACGATATACACATCCTGAACACCGGCAAAGTGGTCGCGCACTCTCAAGGTCTGGCAGAGCGGGGCAGATGCAGGATATCTGCCTGTGCCCCCCACCCCCTTCAAGAAGCATATTTTGGTTCTTAATTTCGTTAACTAGGAATAGCATGGCCGTGCTGCCATGGGTTACAGGCACATAAAAAGAGAAACCTGGAATCCTGAGCACCCTTCAGATCAAGCACCAACCAATATCTTAACGTCAATTTTTTGTTCTGCTCAACCTAGTTAAGAAGCCCTGCTGTCTTCACCTATATATCAGAAACAGCCACTAATAAACACAAGCAAGGAGAGCAATTTCTGACACAGGGTTTCCTGTTATCAGTGAAGACCCTGGTCAAAACGCTTCTCGTTCCACCAAACCTTAAAGTAATATGCTTTAAAACGACCGAACAGACGCCATTATTTTCCCTGTGGTGTAGAATTTTTAATTACAGTGAAGTTTGCCAGCTTATGCTCTTTGAGGTCTGTTTCAGGAAAGCAAAATCTAAGTGGAAAGATTAAAAAAAAGAGTCTTACTACCAGTTAAAGTTCACATTTTCTACGCTGTACTAAGGGGAAAGGAAGAGTTAGCACCACTTTTAAAAGTTATCAAACATCTGAAGCAGAGAAAACAGGCTATTTGTTATTGGCTCTCTGAAAAATACTGATTAGCCACTGAAGTTATGGAGAAGCTAAAAATAGCATCTCTAATACAATAGGACATATTGCTCATCATTTCCAATATAATCATTACAAAAAAAAGTTAAAAAAAATCAACTGTTTCATTTGAAAACATTTAAGTATGAAGATAAGACGTACCTCAAGAGGTACATTACAAATACTGCGCTGAAATATTGTAGATGCAGATACAACATCCTTTTTAATACACTGTTAAGCTGACTGTAACTATCCAGAGTGATTAATGTAACACATGATTTACCTGGTCTGCCATTATAGTACGAAATGAAGGTAGATTCTGAGGAGAGTAAAAAATATTTAAAACCACATCCTATGTCCTCTGTTGGCTAATATAACATTTTTCTTATAAAAAAAGGAGTCAGCACCAATGTTGTCCAGTTTGGATTCTAGACCAAAGGGGGGGGGGGAGAAAGCCCCAAACAATCTCCACTTCAAATTAATACATTTATGGCAATTTGGTTTACATCCGCTATGGAGCAAAGTTATAATAAAAAGTGATACTTTGCTTGATTCTGGACATAATATTTGCTCGAAGGGAAAAAACAAACAAACAAAACCAAGAATAATGTTTCTTGAACAAGTTTGAAAACCTTATCAGCAGGGTTTTTTTTAAAAAAAAATATTTAAGTTATTCTACGTTTACTCCCCCACCAACCAGAAGAGGAAAAAAAATGAACCTTTTATAAGTGTTTATATATATATATATATATATATATATATATATATATATATATATATATATATATATATATAAAAAATTCAAAGCTTTCGAAATAGTTATTCCACAAAGAAAAGAAACCAAAACGCTTCTTGAACACAGGTTGCCATATGACACAATAAAACGAGCAGACTTGAGAGGCATATCTAGGCTTTTTTGTAGCTTTTGAGCTCTGCCGCCTTGATCAAATTGAAACAAGTCCTATTGAATGCAACAAGACTCACAACTGAGGGGGCCTGCCTGCTCCTGGGCTGCCCAAAACACAACAGGAGGTGTCGGCCAGTGTATCGGCCAGCACTATCCATGTTGTCATCACATCTTTAGCTAACAAGGCTCAGCCCACCCTCAGCAAGCAGCAGTAAAGCTCACCCTGCCTCTTTGCAAACAAAACAGCAGCCTTTTATTCCAGAACCACACCCGTGAGAACGGCTAAAATTTAGGAGGGGAGAAAAAAAAAAATCGCAATAATGATAACTCTCGTGAAACTGATCAAAGAAGGAAATGCATTGATCCGTGTGCTTTCTTTGAGTTGCCTGGAGAAACAGCATCATTTTTTTTTTTTTTTTAATCGGGGGTGTGCACATCCATGGTATAATCCAGAGTCTCGGTGGCGGAAGCCTCGTCGTCTCTCTGTTCCATGTAGACTTCTGTTCGGTCGGGCGACTCCACCCGGCTACGGATTTCGGCCACGCCTGGATGGTTCTTCCGCAAGTGCTGGTTCAAGGTTCCTTGGAAAGGAAAACACTTCCCGCAGACTTCGCAACGGAAGGGCTTGTCGTCGGTGTGGCCCCGGATGTGGTACTCGAGCTGATCCTTGCGGGTGTATTTCTTCCCGCAATACTTGCACACGAAGGGGGTGATGCCCATGTGCAGCCTCATGTGCCGGTCGAGGCTGCCCTTCTGGTTGAAAGACTTCCCGCAGTAGATGCAGATCAGCCGCTCGCTGTAGGCGTACCAGTGGCCTCGGGAATTCCTCTCCCGGGGGCCGCTCTCGTAGCCTGGCGGGTGGGCTGAGGGCTCGCCGTCGGCTCCCGACACGAGGCCGGAAACATCGCTGTGCAAGTGGCTGGTGGAGACCCGTTTCTGTCGCCCGCGGCCTCGGTAGGAGCCGAGCATCGACCTGGAGCTGCCCGAGCTCCTCAGGCTTCCGAAGGATTCAGAGACGGGAGCAGGCTGCGAGGATCCCTGGGAGTATGAGAAAGCATTTTGCAAGACGGAGCCGTAGGACCCGACGTTCACTGCCACCACTTGTTCTCCGTCGACCATTTCCGTGTGGTAGCCGTCGTCGCCAAGCGAGGAGCTGTCCGAGCAGCTCGGACGGTCGGATTTTTCCATTTTGACTTTCACCTCGGCCGCCTGGCTCTCTCGAACGATCAGCTCCACCGGGTCGTGATCCCCTTCGACTTGAATCTCGTACTCCGAAACGCTCCCGCTGCTCCCCCGGTCCGAGTGGCCTTCTTCTTGCAGGCGGCTGCGGAGAGTGCCAGTCGGCGCCGTTTCCATCCGGAGGTCATTCCCTGAAGCCGGCGGATGCCCCTGTGGGCAGTAGGGAGGAGAAATCTCCACGGGGTTGGCGAAATAGCTACTCTCCTTCAGGCCGTTGTGGTTCTCCAGAGGATCTTCGGCCCCAATCGTGACCGAGTCGACTTCTCCGACGCTGATTTTTGAATGGATGCTTTCGAGGATCTGGGTGCATTTGTCGATGACGCACTGCATCTGGAGGAAGCTGGCGGCCGTCAGAAAACTGACCACGTCCTTCAGCTGCAGAGACATCTGTCCAGTGTAGCAAAAGGAAAGCAGCTGCTCGAAGACACTGGGGTTTTTGATGACGGAGATGGACAGGCCACTCATGGTGTTTAACGCCGAATGGTCGCGAAAGTAGGGAGAGCTGGCGGCTAAAACAGCTTTGTGAGCACGGAATGGCTGCCCCTGGATGTGCACAATGATGTCGCAAAGCTTGCCCTGCAGGCGGAGTTCATTCAGCTGGCTCAGGACGCTGCTGCTGTATTCAGGAACGTCGAACTGGATGAAGCTGCTGCTGTCCATGTCGCCTGGCCCGAAATGTAACCTGGAAAGGGACACAAAAGGAGCGTTCACGAATCAGAGTTTAAAATGCACGAGGCTGCTTGGAGAGAGATCACACACACACACACAAACCCACCCACCAGCCCTTTGTTGCCAGGGATGCGATTTTTTTAACTTTGCGCTGCATATGATCTGCAAGTTGATGAGCATAAAAATGCAAGAGGTGGCAAGCCACCGAGTTTACCCCAGGATTCAAAAGAGCAAATTACATCTATGAGACATGGCACGTTTGGAACTGTGTGAAGTGGGATGGGATTAATTCCCTCGACACCGAGTTGCTCGGTGAGGAGCTACGATTTGATGCCGCCCTCTCCGATAGAGAACATGGGCGTGAGTTTTCCCACAGGACCCAGACCTCCTCACACGTGCTCAGATTAGCACATTGAGTCTCTTCTTCAAATACTGGGAATGAAACCCATTAGAAGTTGTGCGGGCTGCACTAAGAATGCAAAAAGTAGAGGAGCTGATTTGTTAAATTTATTTGCCCTGGGGCTACCCTAGGTGGCTTATAAAAATAAAAAGGAAGTAATGAAAAGAGTATAAACAGAAGATATATATATATATATATATATATATATATATATATATATATATTCTTTTTACGACCCTGCAATCTCTATCATCAGGCTGGTGTTGGGGTGACTGAATGGAGCTGAGCATTTACCGACCGGATGCCCTTCCTAATGCTATGCGGAGTTTGCAACAGATATTTTCTCTTGATAAACATCTGCTGCTACCTAGGGTTGAACTCTTAACTTCCTGAGTGTGAGGCTAGCATCTTTGCTTCTGGGCCACCCCGTCGCTCAGAACAGACTATAACAGAACAATAAAATAAAAGATGATAAAGAACTCAGTGGGAATACATTATGAATGGCCAAAAAAAGAAAAATGGATAGATAGAGAACAGAGGATGGAATCTGCCATCAATCCAGCATGGAATAGGAGTACATTGTCTGAAAGAAGACTCTATGGGCAGCTGACCCCAAGTACTATTGACGTATCCTAGCAGGTCATGCAACATTAAGAGGCAAGGGATCGTGCAACTTCCTTCCTTCCTGAGGCTCCAAAACAAAATTTCTCAACATTTGAACCATCTTATTTGACAGAAGTACAACGTATGTGCTGCAGGTAAGAACAGTTTTTCCCCAAACTGTTCCAGAACACTAACAACGGTGCTTCCTTTCACACAAAGGCAATCCCTTTAAAAAAAAATAAAATACAATAAAATGTGCCAGAGATAAATAAAAAAAAATGGCAATAATTTCCTCTGCTGAGCCACTGGAGATACGACTTGGCTCGTACTGCTGATAATCAGCGATAGCAAACTTACGAATTGGGATGGAATTTAAATCCTTCTCTCATCTTTCAATGTTGGGTGCAGCATCATCTATCTGAATCATGAGATTTTTTTTTTTAAAAAGATGATCTCATTTTTTATTCTGGGCACCTCATTTTTTAACGAAGCATTCATTAGCAGCCTCTCCAAGGGGAGGCTTCCACTGTCTTTCACTGTAATTCCTCAGAATCTTAATATATCTAAAAAGCAGCAAGGTGGAAAGATTACAGAATAAGGACAGGTATGCAAAAAAAACCCAAACCATTATAACTTTAGAGTGGAGGAAGGGTTTCATAACAGAGCGTTTGGGCTTTGCAGAGACTATGAGCAAATTAAGGTTCACAGTAGATAAAGCAACCTTGAACGTATGTACCTTATTTTTATTTAAATCTGCACATATTTTACAAGTCAGTAAATACCATTTCTGCAGAAGTGCCTATAAAACAGAGACCTATCCTGTGTACACATGCCAGCACAGGCAGATGCCATAAACCAAACCTCAAAATGGCATTTGCGAGTTGTCAGGTAAAAGAATCACCTCCACATGACAAAGGAGAAGGGTGGTGGATTATCTGAAGGTAGTCCTTTTAAGCTATTATGTGCACACGTTATTTTCACCCTTGCAAAATGGCTAAGACATAAAAAGGAGACCGACAGTATTCATCCAGATGGCTTATCCATGATTATCCATGTTCTATGTTGATGTTTTTATGTAAGTAAGATTCAATGTACTTTTTAAGTTTAATCATATTGATAAACTTAAAAAATTTGAAACTTTCTTACCTAAAAATGTCAACACAGAATCACTGAATTGCTCTCCATAACAGCTGACTTGTAACAGTTCATTTAGTTACTCTTCGAAGTTACAACAGCACTGAAAAAAATGACTTATGAACATTTCTCACGCGTACGACCGTTGCAGCATCTCTGTAGTCACATGATCAAAATTCAGATGCTGGACAACTGACTCGTGTTTATGACGGCTGCACTGTCCTAGGGTGATGTGATCCTCTTTTACAACTTTCTGACAAGCAAAGTCAATGGGGAAGCCAGTTTCGCTGAACAACTGGGTTACTAACTGTAGCAACTACAGTGATTCACTGTGGCAGGAAAGGTTATAAAATAGGGCAAAACTCACTCAACAAACGCTTCACCTAACAGCAGAAACATTGTGCTTGATTGTGGTTGTAAGTCAAGGACCACCTGTCCATTATTAAAAAGCACAAGGAAGCTATTCAACAGAGCCAGTGGCACAGACTAACCATATACTGGAAAAACGAGTACTACAAACTGTTGTAAAAGTGAGGAATGCAGCCTTTATGGGAAAAGAACTAGCAGGCTTCCATTCAAAGATGTCTGTTAGTCGAATGCTCATCACATCTTACAAAATAAAGTTTCACAAACTGAAATTGTAACCTAAACATTTTAACCAGGGAGCAGAATAAGTTGCACTTACAGATTTAGCACAAGAGAAATCTCAGTAGACTTCCTGTAAGGCCAGGAGCAATGGGAGCTCTTTAATTAATTGCATATTTGCTACCCGCCTTTCAAAATAATTTTTAATTTGGCTGGACAGGCTTTAACTCAGAGATTTTCATTGACAGTGAGCCTGTGATACACCTTTATTTCACCTCTATTCCGTAGTATCATCAATTTTTTCTACTTATTCCCCATTGTTTTCATCTTCAGAAGAGCATCATCCCATCACCTATTACGCACCCAGTCTTTTTTGAGCAGCGAGTTCCAAACTGTTGCCAAAGTAACAATTTCCAAACCCCTCCAACTAGGACACAATACAAAGGACACCATACAGTACAGAAAGCTTTTACTAAACAAATATCCCATACTTTGTTAGCTACCCATCTCAACAAGAGACTCACAATAGGAAATAAAAATAAAACAATGACAGAATCCGAGTATGGAAAGCGTAGCAGGGACGCAGTGCTTAAGAAAACCCTCTTCAACTAGGCATTTGCCAGATGAGCTGGCATCCATATGCCTGCCTCCCTAACCAGGGCGTTACAGGTATATCCATCAAGCAGGATTATTTCTATGGGGAAAACAGGCGCCAGGAGTATTTTATTTAATTTACAGGTCACTCATCTCACTGTCAAGAGACGCTGGTGTGAGGTACATTCAACATCTTGCGTTATATATATATGGATGGGATAAAATAAAGGTTGGAACGTTAAACTGGCTCCCAACAGACTAGAACTCACCATCTCTTGGTTTCTAGCCAGGTGCCTCCACCACTACACCCAGTTGGCTCCGGATTGAAGAGGAGGTCCTAAAGTAGATCACCTGGAGACCCAGAGAAGAGGGCAGAGCTGCAAACTAATGAATGCCACCAGACTAGAAAGTAGGTGATTGTGAGTTCTAATTCTGCTTCAGGCATAGGCTGGGTGGCTTTGGGCCAATCACAAGGGGGCTGGGCGTTCTAGTCCCGCCTTAGGCATGGCAGCCAGCTGGGTGTCTTTGGGCCAGTCCCTCCCTCCCTCCCTCTCAGCCCAGCCCACCTCACAGGGTCGTTGTTGTTGGGGGGGGGCAAACAGCAGGAGGAAGGAGTACCAAGCGTACTAGCTGCCTTGAGTTACTTATAAAGCAATAAAGGCGGGACACAAACATGAATAAATAAAATAAAACGTGCCTCCCGGGAGGGGACCCGGGCTCGACCCCCCACCCAGTGCCCAGGCTCGCCTACCCGGACGGGGCTTCGGGCGCCTGAATAGGAAGAAGCCGGGAAGAAAAGGGGCCCCAAGAGGCCATTCCGCCACCGGAGCCAGCCCGCAGCACCCGAGCCGAAAAGCCGCCGGGAGGCGTCTGACCGCGCCCGCCTCACCTGAGGGGCGTCGGGGTCTCCTCACATGGCGGGCCCGCCGGAGGGAGCTCGGCCCTGGCCCGAGTGCAGCTTTCCCCCCGGCCGCCGCCGCTTCCCCTCAGCCAGCAGCACCCGGAAGCGCTCCCTTCCTGCGCGAGGGGGGGGACGCGCACTTCCGCTTCCGGGGCGCCATAGGCGGCGGGCGGGGAGAAAGGCTCAGAGTGGGAGAGGCGGCGCCGAGGCCGCGCCCCTTCGCGAAATGGAGGGCGCCTGCGCAAGGGGAGAAAAGAGAGCGCTCCTCGACACATCTACTCCCTTGCGCCCCTAGTGGACATTTCTGTCTCCTGCTCCGAGAAGGTCTAATCCGAATCCGGATTTTGCATTAAAACGAAAGCAGCATCTTAAATCAAAAGGTGGCACAATAAAATACAATAACTGAGAGAATTAAGGCGAGGTTAACGAACCTCAGCGTCTCGATTAGAATATTTCAAGTCGGTTTTTATGCTTGGGTAGGATGGAACCGGAGGCACCTGCACGTAAGGCTCGCACCAAATGTTTTCTTGCATAAAACAATCCGAATTTGGGGTGGTCAAAAAGGGATGCTGACTCCTGTTGCAAGCAATGCGTGCAGGTTTGCAATGACCCACGTGATCAAAGCTGTTCTGCCGTCCTTCGGAGGCATAGAAACATAAACAGAAAGAGAGTAGATCGATAAAACGTTTTATTTATTTTTTGTTACACAGATCAACGCGTGTTTTATTCTTTTGCTCCCCTCCTCTTCTTTTTCTGTGGCTTTCATTTGTTTAGCGACAGGATATTATTTATAAGATTGGGTTGGCTGAATCAGCCAGAACTGTGCAACGCACTAAAGGAAGTCCTTGACTTACCACCACAATTAGGCTCAACATTTATGTCGCTAAGCGAGACGGTTGTCACATTTACCTTCCATTTTACCACATTTCTTGCCCCAGTTGTTAATTGGATCACTGCAGTTATTAAGTTAGTAACAAGAAGTCTGGCTTCCCCCGTTGATTTGTCAGAAGGTCGCAAAAGGAGATCACATGATATTGCAACAGTCATAAGTACAAGTCAGTTTCCAAGCGTCTGAATTTTGATCACGTGACCCTGGGGATGCAATGGTCGTAAAACGGTCACAGGTCACTTTTTTCAGTGCTGTTGTAACTGGTCACTAAACAAACAGTGGTAAATGGAGGACAACCGGTAAGCAGTACATGGTGGTTTACACACCCACCGTGCCTTGCTCCCCACAAACTATGGCCGCTCCAGGGTGAACCCCTCTTTCTGACCCACCTTGGTGGGTGCAAAATTGAGACTTCCATTGTGCTGCTCCCTTTTCTCCTCTGCAGGGCGGTGGAGTTAATCAAAGAGTTTTTTGTTGTTGTTTTTTTACTTTCGGGGGTCTAAAGTTGACGAACTGACCCAGCCCAGCATCTCCCATTCTTAGAATCATAAACTCTTCGTGACTTGATTTCCCCAGGAGAGACGGAGGGTTAATAAGTTCACAAGTCATTCTGCCTTGACACCGTTGAGGCACAACTGAGTAATGCGCAGGCTGTTTACACTGCCGACCTCTGGGCTGTGGACTCTTTATTATCTTTTGGGGTAGGATAATAAAAATATTCTGCTTTTTGAAAAAAAATGGCACACAGTTGTTTTTGTTTTTTAAAAAAGACTTTTTCTGCCTTCCAGATGGAGAAGTATAGATATATAATGCTGACTTTCGTAATATGTAGGATATTTGCAGCGTTGACATAGGAAGTCCTTGACTTGCAACGGTTAGTTTACTGATTGTTCAAGGTTAGAACGGCACTGAAAAATGCAACTTACAATCCTTTTTCATAGTTGCAGCCTTTAGATTTCTCCCCCCCCCGTGATCATGTGATCAAGATTCAGATGCTTGGCCCCTGACTCACATTTATTTTATTTTTGCCCCATTTTTCAACCTTTCTTGCCACAGGGGTTAAACGAATTACTGCAGTTGTTAAGTTAGTGAGGTTGCTTGTCAGCAGGCTTGAAAAGAGGATTGCGTGACCCCAGGACACAACTGTCATAAATACAAGTCAATTGCCAAGCGTTTGAATTTTGAGCACCTGCTTGTGGGGAATGTTGCAATGGTTGTGTGAAACAGGGACCTAAGTTATTTTTTCCAGTGCTGTTGTAACTTCAAAAAGTCACTTAAACAAACTGTTGTTAAGTCAAGGGCCACCTCTATGAGGTATAGTTTTTAAATCAACAACGGGTGAGCGGGCTTCTTGAAAACAGCCATAATGCAGTTAATTCATTTCTGACTTTGTACGTTTCTCTCTTTGTCTCAGTCCACTTAAATAGGGCTTGCGGACAAGATTTGTGAAAATGAGCAGTTTACACGTTCCTATTCATTTTTGCACACATTTGATCGAAGTCAGGCGTACCAGGGAAACACAATAGGAATAATTTACCCAGGTCCCAGCATAGGCTATTTTTTCCATCTCTGAAAGAAACATGTTCCCTATTTGTTATCGAAATAGAAAGCGATTCTTGTGCGCCGTGATTGAATTTGAGGGGAATTTAGTCAAGAGGTCAGATTTAAGTTGAAGTGTATCTGTTTTGTTTGGAAAGCAAACATTCGCTCAAGCCAAGCCCGTTATGACAGCTGTAGGGAGGAAAAATATCTCTGGGATTGGATAGATTTGGTTACCGTTTTGAAAATAAATGGCTGAATTTGGATACTCTTGTTGAAAAGGAGGGATTAAATTACATCTGTTGTGATTGCCGGGTTCAGCTAAGTGCCACTGACAACGATTGTACGACGTTGGCCCGCAAAAGCCTTCCATTGGTGTGAACATGACTTGATGGAACCCAAGTGGGCTTCAGCTTCTTCATCAGATGATCCCACCGACTTTCAGAAGAGGGACTGGCTCGCCCTGTCCAATGTCCAGATGTCCCTTGGTGCATGCTACTCTTAGCCAGATTTCTGAATTCTTTAAACCCAAATCGGGTTCCCATTTATTCAGAAATCATCACCATCGGATTCAGCAAGACTCGCTCCCACCCATGTTCCTTTGGTGAGCAAACAAACACGCTTGGCAAAATACCGATAACATTTATTAAAACATGTTATACAAAAGAGCAACAGACTCTTCTATAAGAAGAAAACCAAGAATCAGGAATGTCACACAAACCACGCTGTACGTAATAAGGACAGCAGAATTATACCTCCCATCTTTGCAATATAGTACATATCAGTTCTAAATATTATAAGTGACAACGCTTAACGGGCAAATGTTTGCAAAAAGAACAACAAAAAAAACCCCCAATCACATTTATTCTAGAAACATGGCAGAAAACCAGAAGAGGAGATATTGAAGTGTCAATGTAACACTTAAAAAATGTTAATATGCATTTAAATTCTCCAACCCTCCTTCCCCCTGGGGGCTTAGCAGCTAAATTTGTCAATTCTACTCATCCATATTTGAATAAACAAGCACAAACCCTTTTCTGGAGGCTTTTAGTATTCCACGATTCTAGATAAAAGAAGTATCTTTTTTTTTTTTTTAAATAGACTCTCAGGTTTAGAAATATCATCCGCCCGCAACATATTTTAACATAGATGCCCTTTAAAAAAAAAACAAAAACAAAGAGGCCAATGGCGAATTTTGCAATATAATATTTACAGTCCTGGATTTGTGAAACATGCTGCGTTAGCAAAGTGCAGGGAAATCACCTATTTAAGCACTGGGGGGAGGGTGCCCGTGGTTAATACCTCTAAAATCCTTCAAGGATTAGAAATAAGAATAGATTTCCCAAACCCAGCAGTTTTGCTTTTGCAGATCAGCAGGAAAGCAGTATGGATTACTGTCCAAACTGCACCAGAATGGAGGGGAAAGGATACCCCAGCATCTTAGCAGCAGATATCTGAAAGAAAGTGACAATTGCATAAAAAAAAAAGAACTGCAGGTAAAATTCGTGGGGTGTTTCCTTCCTCGCAAAAGGAAAGTATATTCTAGAGAAATTTAGTTGTGTTAGCAAGACGGGTTCAAAACTAAACATACTGTTTTATCACACAAAGCCACCCTAGTCCCTGCATAGGACGCCGAACGTGACAATCGTCCACAAACCCTTTTCCGGATTAGTTGCAAGACAGAGTCAATCACAAAGATGCACAAATGGAATTTACCACAAAAGAGAGGGAATACATATTGCTATCCCTTAGCGGCGCACACAGAATCCTGGCCTAAGTGGAAATAACCTATTTCTATACTTGGGGCATTTTTAGTTTGCAACAGCCATCTGGATCTGCCCTAAAGGAGGAGAGGGTTATCAATTGCACATAAATTCTGCCTGGGATTCTTGCCGGCAGATAATAAATATCTTAAGTTTTATTCCATGCTGAAAATGACAGCAAAGAGTTCGGTGCTTCTGTTCCTGTCTGAAGATACTCAGCATCTTAGCAATGTGTTAAAAAGTCCACAGGCATATCCTGAATTCCGATCACGTGTGTCCATGGGGTCGTAAGTGTGAAAAATGGCCATATGACACTTTTTCCAGTGCTCTTGCAACTTCGGTCCCTGTTGTAAGTTGAGAATTACGTGCAGGCAATCCCTTTCTGCATTAAATCCCACTAACAAAGTGGCTGTTATTTTGTGTTAGCTTTCTGTTCCATTTCCCCATTGAGACCTCTCTCGATGCCTTCCCATTGTGCAGGAACTCGCCTTCCCTCAGGCCTATATAATGTGGAGATTCTGAGAGATTAGAGAAAAGGCCTCCAGGATCTTCTAAGGCAGTGACTTTCTTTTTTTTTTTTTTTTTGCTCCTGTTTTATTTTGGAAACGAAACTTAAAAACAGATCCTTAGGATCTTACTTTTCCTCCACAAAGGACACACCCCACCCAGTACCCGCCCTTATGTAAACAAAAAATCTTCTCATTCTTATAAAATTTCGAATAAGAAAAACCAGACCAACGACATGAATTAGAAATTAAACCAGAGGGAATATATATATATATATGTATATATATATATATATACACGTTCTAAAAATATTATACTTTTTTTGTTTTGTTTTGCTTTAAATACAAAGTGCTTCTGTACATTAGCAAGTTACAGTGTCGGCAAAGAGATCCCTGGTTGGGTTCAAGTCAGCACCAGCCATGCCTACCGAAGGGTATGGCTGAGTTCGTGGTGGACATTTGAGGTGGACCATCCATAAGTTAAGTGCCTGTGGTCAACTGAAGAAGTGCCTCATGGGAGAAACTGAAAGATTATCCATGGGGAGAGAGCAGGAAGGGACAAGGGAACCCCAACACCTGTTAGGTTTTAACATATTTAACGGGGGGGGGGGATATTTAATTAAAAGAGATGATTAGGTTACATGGCTACCATTATACCAAGTCAGACACGTATATATTAGACATCAGCTGCAAAGACAGTTTGAACAATCGAAGAAAGAGGAAAGCTATCTGCTTGTGAATCTACTTAAGTAATTATTTCTGAACCCTGGCCATTTTAGAAGACCTCCAAAGTCCCTTTTAACTCTGTCACTTGAAAATGATCTCGCCATGTGCTTTTGGAGAAAGGGAGGGAAAATCACCCACTCCCTTGCCCTCTGCTCAACGCGCTCCCGCTTCTAGTTGACTGGCTTAAATGCAAACACCGCTAACCCGGGGGCGCCCCCAAAGAAAACAGCCACCCCACCACATGGACATTCCCGCTGAACCTTAAAATATCGAGCAGAATTCTGCTGAGATGAATCCAAAGCGAGAAGCCCCCTCGGAGTTCCTTTTAAAGAGAACCCGGATGTTCCCAAAGCACGAATTAAATAGCTGTGATTGTAAGTATGTTAAAAAAATACCATTCTGCTAGCTTGCTGGTCTGTTTGCCGCCTCAAGAGAGGAATCCTCAGGAATACTTTTAAGAGAGGGTCCCGGAACCAAGCACCTCAAAAGCAGCAGGCCTCAGGCCGTGGGACACAATCATTCTGCTTGTTCAAATAATCCATCAGATCCAAGGCCGGGCAACACGCCATCGTTTGCTCGGCTCCCTTTCTTTCTCTCCCCGTCCATTCTTTTCTCTCTTAGTTCATTTTAGACGTGCTCTGTTCTACTTTGCAGGCTTGGTAAGATTTGGTGCAGGAAGTGACGTGCCGGTGAAAACTGTCTCTCCACATGAACCTTTTCCCGCAAATGTTACACTCGTACGGTTTGATGCCCGTGTGGATTTTCATGTGGCCCACCAAGTGGTGCTTCATTTTGAATTTCTTACCGCAGACGCCGCAGCCGTAAGGCCGGAGACCGAGGTGCATACCCATGTGGCGGTCCCTCTGGCTTTTGTGGGTGAAACTCTTTCCACACTGGCAGGGATAGAGTTTGTCGGTGGTGGAAAAGCCAGACAAGGCGTTTTCTTCCTTGATCCCTGAGGGAAGGTCTAAGCTTTCTCCGTAACCTGAAGCCTCTGCTCTCGGAAGGCTTAGAGTCCCGTCGCTCCTTTCCCCGGAGAACTCTTCCATGGAAGAGCCATAAAAGTCGACTTGCTCGTCGTAGTGGCCTGCGTTGGCCGGATCCCCAAATTCCATTTCCATCTTCCTATCGTTGACCCGGGGATCTCCAGCGATGCTGGTCTGAACAGGGTGGTCTGACTGAACAGCATTCACGGACTCCGAGACCTGGTGCTCGTCGTAGGAGTCATGCATTGCCTCTCCTTCACAGTCCTGAACAAACTTCTCCGTTTTTACGTGTATCCATCGTTTGTGAGACATGATGCTGGGCTTGCTGTAAAGAGGCCTGGCGTACTGATAGTCTGTACTATCACTGACTCCCTCTTCTCCGTCCTGGCTGGTCATGCCGGTGCTCAAGCGGTCATGTTCTGTAGAAGAATTGCTAGGCAGATACTCGTGTTCGGTCAGTTGGGACAACAGCTCATCTTTTGAACTCTCCTCTTCGTTTTCCCCGTCCCTTAGTTCCTGCACTTTGTGGAAGTCCGCCTGGCCTGCTGCCCCCAGCTCAAAGCCTTCCACCAACCCGTGGTAGTTACTGCTGCTTGGGGACTGGTGGTCACTGGTTCGGTTGAGCTTCTGGCAAAGGACAGAAGGGTTTCCTTCCAACACCTCTGTGCATTTGTCCACCACGTGCCACATCTGCAGGAAGCTGGCGGCCGTCAAGTAGCTGACGATTTCCGGAGCAGGCATGACCAGGCGCCCGGTGTAGGTTGACAGGAGAATATTCTCAAACACCCTGGGGTTCATGACGTCGGGCAGGACAATGCGCCGGCTGTTCTTCAGGAGCACCTGGTCGCAAAAGTAAGGGGAGCTGGCAGCTAGGACGGCTTTGTGGGCTCGGAAGAGGTGGCCCTGGACCACGATAGAAACGTCGCAGAGCTGGCCTTGCTGCCGCTGCTGGTTGAGCTTCTGCAAGACGGTGTTGCAGAAGTCGGGGAATTCGACTCGGAAAGAGGTCGCCCCAGGCTCCATTTCATCCGTGTCCTGCAGGAGAAGAGAGCGCGGGTTTCAGGAGGAAAGGAAAGGCACAGTTTTGCAAATTGAGAGGGCAGACAGGCATTACCCCAGGCTAAAACCAGGAGACGGTGAGTTCTAGTCCTGCCTTAGCTATAAAAGCCAGCTGGGTGACTTAGGGCCAATCACCTGGAGACGGAGAGTTCCAGTCCCTCCTTAGGCATGAAAGCCCAGCCAGATGACTTTGGGCCAGTCCATTTTCTCCCAGCCCAGCCCAGCCTACCTCACAGGGTGGTTGTGGGGAAAACAGGAGGAGGAAGGAGCATGCAGTATGCCCGCTGCCTTGAGTGACTTGCAAAGTAGTAGAGGCAGGATTTAAAAAAATTGAGTGAATAATAATAATAATAATAATAATAATAATAGCACCAGGGGCATCTGTCAGGGCCCCCTGCTTCCCTCCAGGACTGCCCTCCGTCCCTCCCAGCCTCCTCTGGCCAGACAGACGCGCCTGCATTGACCCCCCTCCTCGAAAGCCCCGCCAGAGCTGGGTCAGGTAGACTGCTCCTGCCGCTGGGGGCTCTCTCGGAGACCAAGGCGCTCCTTCCGCCCTCCACCCACTCCCGGAGGGAAGGAGAGCCGCCCCTTCACCTGCCTCGGCGGGAAGGCCCCGGGCCTCCCTCACATGGCGGGCGAGCCTCCCCCGCCACGCGTCCTTCGCCCCTCCGCCGCCTCCGAACCTCCTCTCGGGCGCTCCGGAAGGCAGACCCGGAAGCGCGAGTCTCTGCTTCTGGCCCGCGCGCGCCCGCTTCCGGTCGATAGAGTAGCCTAGACTAGAGAGTTAAGGGGGGGACGATAGAGTAGCGCGGGGGAGGAGAGAGCGGCGCGCGCGGAGAGCGCTGGGCGGAGCCGCGTGGGAAGAGCGGCCGAGCCCAACCCGGCGCCCGCGAGCGCCATTTCTGGGGGGGACGGAGAAGGGCATGATGGGAAGTTTGGCTTCGGTTTCGGTTTCTGAATAGTGACTCTTCCTGGCCAAACCCCATCATGGGGCTGAATTCTGCCTGGCTTGGCTACAGCTGTTTGAAGGCTTCTCCGATTTTGGGGGGGGGGAGTTCGACTATTTTATTAATTAATGAATTAATTAAATGTATTAATAATGTCCATTAGGTCACGCATCATTCTTTTTACATGATCCAATAAATAAAATATTCCACGAATGCGTCTGTTTTATTTTTAATAAGATAAGTATTGATGAGTATGACCCATACAACCAAAAGTTCTTTGTAATGTTACTATTATATGCAAATGCCTTGGCCTATTAACAAACCATAACCGCACTCCCTTCCAGCACTGATGACGTTACCTAGTTGGGTAATGAAATGTCTGTAAGGAAACAACCAAGCTCAGAGAGCATCAAGGACCCCACAGTCCTCCTCCTCCTTCATCCTTTTTAGCACGGATGATGTTACTTAGTTGGGTATTGAAACATCTGCAAGAAAGCAGCCACGCTCAGAGAGCAGAGCTGCAAGTATTCTCTTCCATTGGTAAAACATTTGGCCTGAAATAATCCAGCTGGCCATCAGATGCATCCCTTTCCGTGTCTCTGCTGCTGCCCCGGGGTTGCCCAGATTTTCCCAGCCTAATTTGGGAAGCCTCTGGGATGCCTTCGTTTTGGGAATTCCCCGTTTTGCAGATGCTTTCTGGCTCACTTCGGATGGAGAAGAGCTGCTGGTGGGCTTGTTGCCTCGAACCTGCCAGTCCTCTGTGCTGGGTTGAAATCCAGCTTGGCTCATTAAGACAATGAAAGAGGCACTTTGTGATCCTGGCACAGGGAGATGCTCCCAGAAACTCCGTCGGCTTTTTTTTCTTTTGCTGTTGTTATTTTGGAGAGTTCAAAGTAAGGCTTTGATCTATTCTCAGCTTGCGAATTGCACCTCTGACATCTTGGAAGTGTTGGGGAATTTGCTCTTGGCTCACATGCTGTGAAGCTGAGTCTCTGGTCTCGTGGCGGCATGTTTCTTCCTGAGAAGAAGAAGTCCCTAGCTATAGAATTTCCCATCTCCCAGCAAGTTAGGGGCTGTTGCCTGGTTCAGTCATGACTCAGCATGTAAAGGGTTTTCTTTTTTTCCTTCCTTCCTTCCTTCCTTCCTTCCTTCCTTCCTTCCTTCCTTCCTTCCTTCCTTCTTTCTCCTCTTGAGGTGGATATATATACAGTAACATACTATATCTCCAACAGGGCTATGAAAAAACTTTTTCTTTCTTTCTTTCTTTCTTTCTTTCTTTCTTTCTTTCTTTCTTTCTTTCTTTCTTTCTTTCTTTTTTTCTTTCTTTCTTTCTTCCTTCCTTCCTTCTTTCCTTCCTTTCTTCTTTCTTTCCTTCCTTCCTTTCTTCTTCCTTCCTTCCTTCCTTCTCCTCTTGAGGTGGATATAAACTATTCAGTAACATACTATATCTCCAACAGGACTATGAAAAAAACTTTCTTTCTTTCTTTCTTTCTTTCTTTCTTTCTTTCTTTCTTTCTTTCTTTCTTTCTTTCTTTCTTGCTTTCTTTCTTTCTTTCTTTCTTTCTTTCTTTCTTTCTTTCCTTCTTTCCCCTTCCTTCCTTCCTTCCTTCCTTCCTTCCTTCCTTCCTTCCTTCCTTCCTTCCTTCCTTCCTTCCTTCCTTCTTGCCTTCACATTATGTAAAACATCATTTACAAACTGCACTGCCTGGGAATGCGTATAGAGAATTAAGAAACATTTTGGTTTGTCCTCTGAACCAGGTAAGAAGACTTTAATAGCACCCTGCTGATTATGCTGAAGAAACTGTGTGGAGGTTTTCTGGAAAAGGAAGAGAGAAGAAACTGTCCTTGTTATGAACAAACAGTAGATGGCACTGAAACTCCAACCCATGTCTGCCAACACTTATATGCAGAAATGTTCTCAGAATTTTAGCCCTGTTCTCCAGCCTTCAGTGCATTAGAAGTAGAGATCTTATTTAACAAATAAATAATAATTAGATAAACCAAGGAACAGTGTAATTGTGTGCTCCTATTCTTAATGTCCTGCAAAACCTCAGGCTTGTTGAATATAACATCAGTATATACCATGGCACTAAGGTTAAAAGGCCATTCGAACAAAGATGCAAAGTTTGCAATTTTAAGAAATCAGGGATTGGGTGATCAGTGGTAAATTAGAGAAGCATCCAACCGAAGATGCTATGGGAGTGCTCAAAATGAAGATTTTTGAATATCAGTTGCTAGTGCGTTTCAATAATGGGATAATTTCTTTAAGGTAGCAAATCCCACGGGCAGTCCCTGACTTATAACCATTCATTTAGTTACAACGGTCCTGAAAAAAAGTGGCTTAAAACTGATCTTTCACAAGGGAAAAAAATGATAATTCTGAGCTCTTGTAAGACGGAGTTCTGCACAGCATTTATATACATACCGCAATGAGGAACTTGCAATTTAAAGCGGAGAAGAGAGAGAGAAGAAATGAAGAGCTGAGTGTGTCAAAACAACAACAGCAAGTAAGAGTCTTCCTTCCTTTTTCCCACAGACTTATGTTTTCAAACAAGGAACCCCCAAAACTTTATAGATTACCCTGTAGCCTTTCCATAGTGACCAGTGAAATATGAAATAGGAGTTTTAATTACAAAAAAACAGAGAGTGCATTTTGTTTAATATTTAATGCGCTGCAGCAATTTGCAGTTCAAAAAGAGCCAGGCATTTCCCATTTTTTTTTTTTTAAAAAAAAAACTTGCTCTCTCTTCTTCCCTGCTCTCTTTTCAGAGTGCAGCTATTTCTCAGAAACTGAGATCCCCCAAGAAAGTTGGATAACAGTTGCCTTCTTGGGAATCTCTGTATCTGGAGGTTTCTTTTGGACATGTCCCACAATGCTTCAAGGCAATGCTTTGCTAGGGCATGATGGGAAATCAAAATAGAACTAGCGATTCTTTACCATCCTGGTAGCCTCTAGATGTGTTGGATGCCAATGAGAAAGGAACAAATCTACTGCCTAGGATTTCTGGAACTTGCAGTCCCAACACATCTGGGGACTCTTCAACAAGGGAAGACGGTTCAATGGAGTGGGAGATTGGGATATATTAAGTTTCACATCTGTACTTTTCCTCCCCTCTATGTATATTAACGAGAGAGAGAGAAAAAAAACAATGTCATAAAGAGGACGCTTTTCAAGGCTGACGTACTAGGTATATGCAGACAATCTTGGGAAAATACCTTTTCGTTCTCACGTTACCGTTTTGCAAATTAGTTCTTTTTCCAAGCTTCTTTAAACTTGGTTCCCCCTTTCTGCTTTTCTCCATCATTTCGGGATTTAGCGTCAAGAAACGAAACTTGCAAGGATTTCCGAGCTGTGCATTAGGAAGGAAGAAAGAAAAAAAAACATAGAAGTGAGTGATGGAAGGAGGCAGTAGAATTAAGTCAACTATCCCAGCTCTTGATCGTTAAATTGATTTCTCTCTATCCCTCTCCTTCCCTCCTACCCTCTGAGAACGCTAGATTGAGGACATTACTGCTTTTTCATTTTGTTTTGACACGGCACCTTTAAAATTTCATGCCTGCGCGGGAGAGCTCGTCAAAGTGACAGATAAAAGTTGACATTAATCTCCGCTGTGTCACTCTGGTGACTGGCTGTTTTGATTTCCCCACTACCCGGTGGGATCATCAGTGAAACGCGAGAATACAATACAGGAGAATTTTGTTACCACAAACGGGGTGCTGTCGCGAAGCAACTCCCTGGAGTTATATTGTTTTATTTTGTGCAAATTAAGTAATGTAGATAGATAGATAGATAGATAGATAGATAGATAGATAGATAGATTAGATAGATATAGATAGATAGATAGATAGATAGATAGATAGATAGATAGATAGATTAGATAGATAGATTAGATAGATAGATATAGATAGATAGATAGATAGATTAGATAGATAGATAGATAGATATAGATAGATAGATAGATAGAGATAGATAGATAGATAGATAGATTAGATAGAGATAGATAGATAGATAGATAGATAGATAGATAGATAGATAGATAATAGTTATGGAGATGGATAGAGATAGCTAAAGAGATAGGTAGAGAAGCAGAGGCAGAGAGAGAGATAAATAGAGAGATAGAGAGAGATAGAAAGAAAGATGGTAGAGATAGAGAAATATAATAAGAGCAATGGACTATTACTGCTTTGTTGATTTCCATCTTAAAGAACTATAAAAAATAATAGGTTCCAAATGGTTAGAATACTATGTATGGGTGTAAAGGCTGGGCTGGGATTACACGGGGCACCTGATTTAACAAAGGTGGATTAAATAAATTACAGTTGGCTAGTTTAATATAATAGGAGTCCTGGGTGCTCCATTACTGGAGGTTTATAAGAAGAGACTGGGCAGCCACTTGTCTATAAGGTCTTCTGCCTGAGCAGGGGGTTGGACTAGAAGACCTCCAAGGTCCCTTCCAGTTCTGTTATTCTGTTCTTACTCTTTACCAACAACGGTTTGCCAACCACAACGGCTGGCTTTGCACAATGTGCTAGCCTGAAGCTAAGCAGCCTTAGAGTTTCCTTTGAACCCAAACTTCATCAACGCTTTGCTGATGGCGTGACCTGCAGAATTATTTCAAAACTCACTTCACAGTGTTTATCGTTGGCTTTTTCTCAGCAGGATTTTAAAACCGCGGGGAAACTAGGGAATGGGGAGGGACTCAAAATGAAATCTAGTTGTGCCTGGTTGAGAAATATCCATTTTGCTTTGTTTCTCTCTAGCAGGAAAATTGACCCAAACCTTTAAGCATGAGCGGTAAAACGCACAATCCATCCACGCAACCCACTCTTATTCCTAAACTGCCAGCCTTCAGTGAAAAGAAAGGGGCAAGGCAATAAAAAAGGAACTCCCGATTCTTAAAAAGTCTTCAAACTGGGCACAGCATCTATTCCCAACCGGCCAATGACTAATCCAGCTTGTAAATTTAGTTTCCTCTGATCTGGTCTTCTCTCTCTCTTTCTCTCTCTCTCTCTCTTTTTTGTCCTTTTGTTGGCTTTTTTAATTAACTTGTCACACCGCAGTCTGGAAATCTCGTCAGTAGCTGACAAGACATTGGCAAGACGTGTGGAATATTGACTTGAAGAAGATGGAAGAGCCAAAGCAGCTGGGGAGTTTCACCCTGATGGCCAGCTCTGATTTTTTTTTTCTCCGGCATTAGAGAGTGCCTGGTATACAAGGGGTTGCAAATTTGTTCCAAAGGGAGGGGGAAGAACACCTGGCTGCAAAGAAGTGAAGGGAAAAATAACTTTGCTTGTGTGACCTTTGAGATTGGCGATTAAAACTATTCATAAAGATTCCAACTGGTTGTTTTTAATCAAAGGCTCATCACCACGCGCAAACTTTTCCTGGCTCTGTAACTTGCTGAGGGCTTGTTGGCTGGAGGAATGTTGAGAAACAAAACCAAACAGCCCCCTTTTGGGGGATGAAGAGTTTCAGGACCGTTGGACTCTTACGAAGCCAGTAAGGTAGAACGTAATCAGAATGGGAAGGAGGTCATCTAGTCCAACCGCCTGCTGTAGCGGGTGATCTTACGCTTTTTCAGATTGTCGACTGATGTAGGCCTGCCCTTGTGATTGTGGCTTGGGGAATCAGGGTGAATCAACATGCAGCACCAGGGGAATGCCTTGCTTACAAGGATCATTTGTTGACTAAACTCTGGTTAGTTGGTTACAGACAAGATAGAGCCAGAAACCAGCATGTTTCATACCAATCTGGGTCCTCAGTTTACCTCGGTTTACTCACCTCAGAAGGATGGAAGGCTGAGTCAACCTTGAGCTGCTCAGAATCGAACTGCTGAGCTGTTGGCAGTCAACAGAATTAGCCTGCGTTCTAACCACTGCTCTAACCATGGTTGAAGGAGGGAGGCCTGTCTAGCCTATCTAAGAGAAGGTCTAGGGGTGACAGGATAGCATCTTCCAGTACTTGAGTGGATCTCCCAGTGAAGAAGGGATCGATTTATTCTCCAAAGCTCCAGAGGGCGGGACAAGAAGCAAGGACTGGAAGATCACTTGAAGAGAGAGCCAACATAGAACTAAGGAGAAACTGAGAACAATCAATCCTTGGAACAGCTTGCCTCCGAGAGTTGTGGGTGCTCCATCGCTGGAGACTTTCAAGAATAGACTGGACAGCCATTAAGACTGGGATGGTATAAGGTCTCCTGCTTTGACTAGGGGGTTGGACTAGAAGATCTCTGAGGTTTCCTTCCAGCCTACGTTCTGAGCGACATGACTTCTCGCCAGCCGGGACAAGGAGTTGGGATGACTGCTCTCCAGAAGCGCCAGCTTGGATTTGAAGGCAACGAACCCAACCCCGGATCACGCAAACTATTTCTGTCCCCCGCGAACAGACAATACTTTGTGAGCTCTGCCTTAAACAAATCAAGGGGAAAAGAAAAGATTGCGAGAGCTGATAGGGAGATGAATTAACAATCAGAGCTTGTTTTTGAGTGCCATGCTACCGGCAGAAGTGACTTCTGCAGGTGGCTGGGGGCTCCGGGGTGCAGCGGCCCTGTCAGCGCCTGCCCACTCTTCCCGTGCGCCTTTTCTCTTCAAATTAACTCCATTCTTCACAGTACAAAGGGAGATAAGCCACCTGCCTCCCCGCCTGCACAGAAGCAGGATTCAGACCCCCGGTCGTCCTTCTAGCGGCTGGGCGAGATATTTTATATTTGCAAAAGGGAAGATTTTAGATAAACTAAGGGGGTGGGGGAAAGGGCTCACCCAGCTGCCTGTCCCAATAATGCATTTTTATTACTATTTAAAAAAGAAAGAAAGAAAGAAAGAAAGAAAGAAAGAAAGAAAGAAAGAAAGAAAGAAAGAAAGAAAATGCAGTTATCTGGCCTTCTTTCCATCCAAGGAAGGCAGGGAATGAAATAAAAATGAAATTGCTCTCTCTTGCCTTGAATTCTGGGCGCATCTTACCACCTGCCTGTACAGACCAAGAAGTAAAAAAAAGTATTGTGTGTGTGTGTGTGTGTAAAATGTGGGCAACCAAGCAGGGGAGCCAGGACTTCAAAAGGCCTCCTTGCCTTTAATACTGGGCCTAAAGACAGGGAGAAACATAATTATTTGTTTCTATCTCCTAAAAAATTAAAGGACATATTAAGCTGGAATAAAGTAATCCATGCATGCTTGTATCCATCCATCCATCCAACCATCCATCCATCCATCCACTCTCTCCCTCTCTCACACATGCAAATATTCTGAAGATCCTTGAAGCTCTCTGAGCTTGATGGTTTTCTTGCAGATGTTTCATGACCCATCTAGGTCACATCATCAGTGTTAGATGTAGGTAGGGATGAGCTAGATAGCATTGATGATAGGACTAGGTGGGTCATGAAACATCTGCAACAAAACCACCAAGCTCAGAGAGCACCAAGGATCCCACAGTCCTCCTCCTCCTCCTCTTCACAAACCCCACTCCCTTTTAGCATTGATGTTGTTATCTAGTTGGGTCATGAAACATCCCCCCCCAAAAAACCCACAACCAAATGAGGGCACTAAGGACCCCGCATTTTAAAGACCCCTATTCTCCTTTATCGATTGGAGGAATTGGATGCTCCTTAGAAAGGCCGCCACGACTTTCAAAGAACGGGTCAGGTTCTGCTCCAACTTTGCGCCCAGATACAGATTGAGTCCTACATTACTTTGAGTTACAACAGCAGGTTCAAAATCTCCTCCGGGGCTGGCCGCTGCTACCGAATGACGCACCAGATGGGCGAACTTTTGTTGCTGTGGTTTTTAATAAAGGGGCCGAGAGAAGTGCAAAACATTGATTAAAAAAGAAAGGGAAAAAAAGAGAGAGAGGGAGGGAAGACAAAGGCTAGGAAAGAGCCAGGCTGTTTTTGTGTGTGTGTGTGTTTTTTTTTTTTTTTTTTGCACAGAAGGAGATGGTTTTGAAGTATGATAACCCACCAAGCCCTTTCGTGTGGCTCTCCACCTCCTGTCTTGCCAAAACCTTCCCCTTAAGACAGGCTCATTATCCTGTCTGACCGTTTCAACATTTCCTTTGCAACTAATGAAAAAAAGAAAAGAAAAAAACACTGAAGAGGATGAGAAGGGAGAATGGGAGAAAAGAAAAAAAACAACACTTAACAGCCCAGCAGGGAAATATTTTGAGTCAGACCAAGATGTTCGCTTGGCACAATTTTGCTGGCAGACATGGATGTTCTTTAAATGTGAGCTTGTCAGGACTGTTTTATGTGGTGGATCCAAGTGGCTGTGCAGGCAGACAGTTAAACAGGGGAGAGGAAGGGGTGGGAATCATGGCAGTTAACTGCCAGGCTGAGTTTTAGGAAGAAGATGCTTCTTC